AGCAACAGTCACCATGAATTTAGGCCTTTTGCATAACAAAATTTGACTGCTTAGTTGTGGACTCTGAGACCAATTAGCTTTGGAATGGCTAAATGAGAGGGGAAAGAAAGAGAAATGAATTCCAAAGAGTGTTTGAAGCTACTGAGCAGTCCAGTCAAGTGGGGATGACATTCTGTAAAGGTCTCCATCAGTCAGGTTTGACTATGATTGTGTTTCATACTCATGAGCAGCAGAATTTGCTCATGTCCAGTTACAGCCTTCTCTCTCTGTGAGGGCAGTGCTCCAGGAAACTACCCTGCGTTGTTTGTGCCAAGCTGGATAAAGGCATCGCATAGCTGAGAATGGAACAAGGCTCCTCTCATGATGCTGATACTGTGAGTGTACCAGGTGGCATGAGAGCATCCTTCAAAATAGTCACTGTGACCACATTAGACCAATAGATTTAGAAAGCACCATGCTTTGGGACTAGAGAGAGAGAAAAGGGTGATTTGTCCAACTGGCCTTTTGCCACTGTTTTATTTTTCTGCAATTTTCTTTTGCATTCTCCAGCTGACGTTTAGGGCCATTGCCAGAGGTGTCATGAACTCTTTTACTCCAGTGAAAGTTAATGCAAAGGATGTGGGAAACACTTAGTCTTAATAGGAGATGAAGGGAAGGCTCAGACTCACTGAACTGCATCACCCAAGCAACTGTTGTCCAAGTGGTTGGTCATTTACCAGCTTGTATTGGGTCTGAAGTCATCCATGCTGTGCTGGGGAAGAACTGAGGGCCAGGACACCTGGAGGTGGAGGGGCTGCAATGTGCTCTGTCCTGTCTTCTCCATTCAGGTGGAAGAAACCCTGGCTGAAACAAACAATTTGGACTATACCCAGCCTATTTCTAGCAAGATCCAGAGGTCAGGTTAGAACCTGTGAGCAAAGCTTGCTTGTGTGTAAACAAGGGGAATGAGATAGGAATCAGACCTTCTCCTGCATCACACTGAAGTGGCATTGTAGACAAGCCACCTGGGATAAGGGTGAGGAGATCTGTAAGGGTGAACACCTTCTGCAGTGTGGTTGCTCTCTCTCCTAGATGTTATCTGATGTTGACATTGAAGTCAGTGAAAGGGATCAAGACACTCAATCTGTACAGTAGCCCATCTCTTTCTCAGCCGAGACCCACAGAGCTCCATCTGGAGCAAGCATTTGTGAAACTGAAAATTTCTACACCCTGTTTCCATCTGTAGTCATTGGTTGGCTTTCCTGAAAATATTGCTGGAATGTGACTGCTACTGGAGTGGTGGTACACAACCCACAGAATGTGTACAATGTGTTCAATGTTGGGGTAGGGAGTGCTTTTGCCTTATGCTTCCTCCTGTGAAAAGTACACTCTTCCATCAAAAGAAATGTCATGACTAAACTGTGGGAGGAAAACCCTCAGATTTTAACTTCAGTATATCAGCTTCCTTATTTAACTGTTAGAGCTAAACCAGGAAGAAGAAGGTGCTGCCCAGCAGAAGCATGGATAGGAGCTGACCAGGCTTATTCCTAGAGCTCCTGAAAACCACAGGCTTAAGTGGGTATTTAAGCCACCCAGTGTGAGGTCTTCCCAAAGGATTTCTATAGACATAGAACACTCCCATGTTTCTGTATTCATAATGAACTGGAGGAGCTCATGGAGCTTCTTTCTCACGAACCCAGAGGTACACCTAACCCACCTCCATCCAAGGGTGCCTCTGAAGGATTTTTGAGGCTCTGAGTTCTATACGCAGGAAAAGACACAGAAGAAATACCACATGAGAATCCGTAAAGGTTTCTTTTTATTTTAATTCCCTTTTACATACACCTGTGGTTTGTCATTTTCCGCTTGTTACTTTGGTCCATACAGGAAGCAGAAGTGGAGGAATGTAAACCAAATGCCTGCCTGACGACACACACAAGGTAATTTCCCTGTAACACATGAAAGAAATCACAGTTTGTGTCCTTTATTTTTTTTTCAGTTTTCTCCCTCTTCTGAAGTGAAACAAGGTCTTAAAACCACTTCAGTGAAAGCACTCGTGTTGGAGGGGGAAGAACACACCCCAGCTCCTTTCCCTCCTGCTCAGACAAGAAGAAAAGGAGACAATATATTGAAAGCAGACTCCCTGGGCACAGCTTGGAAGACTGGTGGGAATGGCTGAGGCGTTTTTCTAATGTCCAGACCCCATCACCTCTGGTAACCACCATGACTGGGTGGGTCACCCTGAAGTTGTTGAGATGAAGCAATGAGTTTTAGCAGCAGGTCTGTCTTTTCATGCATACCTCAGCTTACGCAGATGGCAAGAGATCGACATAATGTTTCTGAACATGGGGATGGGCCAAGGGGATGGGTTTGGGTGACAGTACTTTCCTCTATGCCTGTCCTTCCTCTTCTGCAACCGACTGACTTTCCTCTCCAACCAGCTCAACCTCTTACATGTCCTTTAAAATATTTTACCTCTAACAACAAGTGGCTTCTTGTTCCTTCCTTCCAGTAGCTCTCAAGGAAGAATGATTAATTTAGACAGACAAAAAAAAAAAGTAAAAGCTTGGCCTGGTGAGAAGCACCCAGCTCTATATTTAGAAGGGCTCATGCCTCTCATAATGCTCTGGTTTAAATAGGTGCTGCTTCTCTGGTGAAGTCATTGCTTTGTCGTCTGTTTTAGGTACCCAAGGTCTGCCTGTTTGGCGAACACCCTTCATTTAAGCTTGTTTTAAACAGTCTTCTGAGGGGATATTGTATCTCTATTTCAGAGGATGCAGGCCCAGGCATTTTGGAAAACCAGTGCACACTGATCCCATCCATCTCAAACATTTTAATCCCATGCCTTTTTCTAGCCAAATATCTACCACATCCTAAATACCCATGTGTAGAAGCTGATACCAGTACAAAAGCCTAATGTCACTTGTGAAGCATTTCAAGAAAGAAGACTGCCACTCAGACCATCTTCTACCTCTTGATGTCTGCTTTCTGGCCTTGCTTTTCTTATCTATTGACTTAAGCAAAAAGATACCCTGAAATACGGGTTGCAAGAAAGGTTTTGGGAACAGGAGAGGTAATTTATTTGAATAATTACCCTTTTCCTCTTCAGAATTTATGGGTGAAACCCGCTCCATTGAAATCAACAGACATTTTGGTGTTGATTTTCATGGGGTCAGGGTTTAATCCTAAATTGATGCCAGCATATCTGTGTTGTTGCACACCACATCACTACCCCAGAATCATTAAACTTCAGTCTGAGAAAGATAATAAAATACCATCAAATTCCTTAGTTAATGTGCCAAGAAAACAATTGCTATGGTTATAGACAAAAGTTATTCTGTGAGACCCAGGTGGAATGATTCTGAATTCCAGGTTCTCACTTTGAGGTTGTTCTAATGTACTCCATTTTGTCAGGTGAAAAAGATGGAAAAAGTGCCAGTGAGGAAAAGAAGAGAAAGTCATACTGACTTTGTTACATTCTCCTCATTTGTTCTCTCAAGACATCACCTTTTTAGGAGAAAGTGTAATTGTGCAATGAAGTCTACCTCTGTCAGAACTGTACTGGATAGGGAGGTCTGCCTGAAAAGAAGACAGATTTATTAAACTTCCTAATTACTTCTGATCATCTGGGTCAGCTCTTCCATAAATTTTTCTTTTGTTCCTGGCCCCTGCCAGACTCTGAGCTGATTTCCAGACCTGCCCTCCCTCACTAGAGTCTTGCAAATTCATTCCGAATAAGGACAAAGCTTGTTTCACTCTGTTGCTGCAAATGTTGCCTTTGGCACCCTTACAAAACAGCATCATTGCCCGTCAGTGCTGATGCCATCAAGAGATTCCATCAGAGAGGAGATGGGCACATGTGGGTGCAATAATGACTACATGCCACTTATGCAAAGGGAGTTCAAGGTACAGTTTTGCAAGTGTGCCCTGAAGCAGCCGCACTAACGGACCAACCTAGAGAAGGATGCACAAACCACATGAGGAAATCAGAATATTCATCTTAAATTAAACAACAATATTTAACAGCAGTGTACCACCTCTAACCACAAGCCCTCTGAAGACAGTATTGTGTGAGCTTTGCAGGTCATACTGAATGGCTTGAGATCTTCTATGAGCAAAACATGAGCAAGTTCATTTGAAGGTCAGCAAACCTTTCCCTGGTCTGTGGGAAAGGTTTCAGAGGAACCTTATTTAATATTTTTTTAAATGCTCCCCTGTGACATTCTTTTCCCCACTTGCCTCCCAAGTTCTGGCAAAATGATGATACTATCTTGAACTTTTTATACTGTGGAGCTAGTTTAAACTTGGAATACAGTATGAAACTTGGAGGATCTAAGTTCACATGCAAGTAGGAAAGGAAAGGAAAGGAAAGGAAAAAGGAAAGGAAAAAGGAAAGGAAAAAGGAAAGGAAAAAGGAAAGGAAAGGAAAAAGGAAAGGAAAGGAAAAAGGAAAGGAAAGGAAAAAGGAAAGGAAAGGAAAAAAAGGAAAGGAAAGGAAAGGAAAGGAAAGGAAAGGAAAGGAAAGGAAAGGAAAGGAAAGGAAAGGAAAGGAAAGGAAAGGAAAGGAAAGGAAAGGAAAGGAAAGGAAAGGAAAGGAAAGGAAAGGAAAAAAAGAAAAGAAGGGAAGAAAGGAAAGGAAAGGAAAGGAAAGGAAAGGAAAGGAAAGGAAAGGAAAGGAAAGGAAAAAAGGAAAGGAAAATAAAAAAGAAAAAAGAAAAGAAAAGAAAGAAAAGAAAAGAAAAGAAAAGAAAAGAGAAAAGAAAAAAGAAGAAAAGAAAAGAAAAGAAAAGAAAAGAAAAGAAAAGAAAAGAAAAGAAAAGAAAAGAAAAGAAAAGAAAAGAAAAGAAAAGAAAAGAAAAGAAAAGAAAAGAAAAGAAAAGAAAAGAAAAGAAAAGAAAAGAAAAAAAAGAAGTGGCTAAGAAAATTCCCTGACAATTACAACAACTGAGCATGGCTAAATAACCACAGTGTATGGCAGGGGGCTGAACAGGCTGACCTGGACAGGAACAGATAAACCAGGATTGTTCTATGTGACAGCAGATGCCTTGGGTGTTCTTTTATTTAATCCCAAACAGCAAGCCTGGTCTCTAATTCTCAGCAGAGTATTTCTGTAGCTAGAGTTGGAAGCTTTATTTTAATTCCATTATGCAAATTGTACATGAGTCTTGAACTGTGGTCTAGATTCAGATCTGTTTTGCGTTGGCATCGGACTGAGTTAACTCAATTAACTTCAGTGGAGTATCTCCTGCCTTCTGCCAATGAATATAAAATCAACATCAGGTCTGTTTCTAACTATCCTGCCCTAGAGACAAGCTTTGAATGACTCTGTCCACTTCTTATTATAGCTATTCTGTCCACCACAGAGAACTCTGTCTACTTGGGAGAAGCCAGAAAGCCAGACACTGAACAGATCCAATCAGAGCACTCAACAGAACCTGATGAAATAATCAAATGATAACTCAGAATTACTATTTTATTGTTTATAATCCTTCTTAAGAGTGGCTTAAAGACAGCAAGTCTTTATCTTGCTCTGTGCCCTTTTCATATAAATTCACCCAAAAAAAAAGAGACTGTTTCGACAGGGTGACCTTCCACCCTGAGTATCTGTGCTCTGAACCTGGTATGATGGGTATGATGAGAGCAGAGCACTATGCAGCTGATCTCAGCAAATCACGTTCCCGTCATGATGCTCTGAATTAGTTTTGAAACTGAGAGTTGAGATTGGCTTCTAGCCATAAAAAAACTGTGAATTTGCATCCAGTTAAAACTGAAAACAAAATACTTAGCTGAATTTTTTAAAAAAGTTTTTTTTGGGTTGTTTTGTAGAGCCAGTTTGGAAAAAAGAAGTTAAGCATGGAGAAAAATTCTAACCAATCTGAATTTGGGATCTATATAGAGAGTAGGGGTATCCACCCTGCTGGTGTCCTTTTTGTGCTCTTTCTGTGGAGAAAAGCAGCCTCAAAGATCTAAAATGGCTGATGGTCCACCATAAGCCTAATGCTACAGCTGAAGTAGGTATGTGGGAGTGCTAGCATTGCTAAAAGGTAACATCTCAGTCCTAGCTTCAACTGCTGATTCTCAGTAGAATATACCTGCTCTTAAGTATTCAAATCCTTCTATGGACCAAAGAGCTGCCAATGAAGATGCTTTTTAATGCTGACTAAAAAAACACCCTTTGCCTATTGCAAAGCTTATGTATAGACAGAAAATTTAACCACTAAATTAATTTAAACACTAAATTAAGTGGGTGAGCAATATTTCTACCTCAGCACAAGATTGCTTGATGTCTCTGAACTTTAAACGTCCAGTAGGTGGTCATAGGCAAAGGTGAGTTCTGAGTCTCATGTCCATGCATTTCTCTCTATCACAATTCATTCACAATGGCCTGTGGAAGATTTCCTACAGAGAGGTTAAAAAGGACATGCAAACGCTAAAAACAGATTTCTGGCTCAAACTTTCTGGCCAGCTGAGCACTACTGAGTGAAAATACCCCCGAAGCAACACAAGAAATGCCAACTCGCATTTTTTGTTCTTCATGAATGGAAGCAAAATCAATCTGGATTTCTCAGGCTATTTTTTTCTTGTTTTTAATCAAAGTGGTTGAATTATGTTTTCATGTTGTTCAGTTATTTATGTGTCTTTATAACAACTCATCTCTGCATTCTTTTGCTCTCCCACCATTATCTAAGAGCTAAGCTTGAGTTTTGATTTTATGAGAGGCCACAAAAATAGTTTTGGTGGAACAGGAGAAGCCCATATAAAAACTAATTTTTATAGAGATGGCAGGATTTGCTGCCTCAAAACAAAATGTTCCTTTGGGTCAACATTATTTGCTGTCTGGCAGGTTCAGCCTTTCACTTCCATAGGCAAAACCAGGAGAATAACCTCCCAGTGAATATCCACAGGGAGCGACGTGCTCTTTATTTTTGTCATACATTTTGTGAATTATCATGTTTTCCAGGTAAATCCAGACAGCCATGGCCAGTCATGATGGAAATTTATTTAAAGGGTCTGTCACAAACTCATTTTCTTTACAATTTAATATTTTTCTCATTTCAAGACACCCTAGAGGAATGGGATATAAAATCTACTCTGGAGAATCACACTGGATGCTTGAAAAGCTCTGTAGCTGGCCAGGGATATGATATATATCCTTTGTTTACTCTGCAGAATGTGGCAGCCCATCAGCAATAGCAGTAAAAATAATAACTACAAAAAATCAAACAGCAAATCTGTTCCAGCATGAAGCTCATTGAAAAATGTCAATTTTCCAAGACCTTCCTGAGGGTGCAACATGGTCTCTTCCCTAGCAAGTGCTGTCAGCAGGGCAGTGGCATGGTGAAGATCTACATTAACCTGCCTATGGTCTTTAAAGCTTCCTCACCTGCTGAGCATCTTGCAACCATCAGTGCAGTGCCTGTTTGTGGCACAGGATGAAAAGTTGAAGAGCATTACCCCCCAAGTTTGGAAAATACTGCCCCAGATTTTTTTATCCTTTTGCTTCCTGTTACAGCCAAAATGTTATAAAATTCAGATAAGGCCAGAAAGAGAGGCTGTGAACCATAGTACTGCTGCATAACTTTCCATAACAAGGCACAGATAGGATTTTAGCAAACTCATGGGCACCAACACATATAAAAAAGCACATACACCAAATAAGAAGCAATGAAGCACATTGACAGACTTCACAGGTTCATACAAACTCTCCCTTAAAGGTCAACTCTTAAAGTGCTTTCTCTTATTTCATGCAGTCCTATCTCAGATGAAAGAGTCATTGACCATAGTGAGAGATTCAGATGAATTAAGAGATATGCTGATCACTCTCCTCATCATCAGTATGCTTGAAGCTTTCTAGGTGTGTAAAAAAATTAACCAGTGAAAAAGCAAGAGAACCCAACCTTTAAATGAGGTTTCTTAACTTTCTGAAACATCAAAACCTGAACTTTTAAACGAGGCATTGAGTTTGTAAGAAAAAAACAAACCCCCAAACCAACCTGAAAACACCCCATAAAAACTTTCCTCTGAATATATTTTTATGTTTTAAAAAATGGTAAATTGTTTCCAGCACTGTGGATGTTCTACAACCTTCAGCCAGTTGCCCATAAACAGATAAACCAAGCCAATCCCTGGCTGAAGAGTTCAATTTCAGGAGATCTTTGTGAACTAATTTGGCTTTAATATGTATCAGACAAGAAGAGTTGAGGAGGGGTGAGGAAAAGGACAAGACATGATCTCATCTGAACCTAGACCAAGCAGTATATAGAAGGTGTAAAAACATTTGCCTGCACATATCCAGGCAAAGTAAAAATGACAAGGCTGCTGCCAAAAGTAATCCTTAAGAAACACAAGGCTGAGGAACATTTAACAGCTCTGTGTCCATCCAAAGAGGAGGTAGATCAAGTAAGAAGGATTCACAAAGAAAAATAGACTATGCTGCTGTGGATGAGAACAGAAGAGGTGCTGGGCTGGTAGGATGAGAAGAACCTGCCAAGGATGGAGATTCCCTTGCCCAAGCCCAACAATTCTGTGGCACTGGTGTTACTGGGCAAGGAAATTCCTCCCGTGTGAGCCAGTCAGCTGGGATATTGCAGTACACAGCTTGGCTTGTACCAGCCCATCAGGCTAAGGGAAGTTGGGGGGGGTCTAAACACTCCTGAGGATTGCCAGCTGCTTTACAAGATGGGAGGAAAAAGGCCACAAATCTGACACCATGGAGGAGGGAAAATTAGAAAAATACAGGCAACCAACTCCTGTGGACCTCCTTGAAGTGAACTTGAGAAAGTCTCTCTGCCTATGTGCTCGCTGTACACTGACTTCAAAGCAATACGCTCTCTCTGCTCCACAATCCGATGTTGAATCTCAACCAGGATGTAGGTCACAAACCCTGTCCAAGTTTGCAGTGGTACCTTGATGAATCACAGACAAATGCACCCTCACCTCACCATGTTTTTGTTTTCTGTGGCCTTTGGAGTATGTTTGCATTAGTAAATCAGACAGGAAATGAATTGCCACCCCAGGTGGACTCAGACCTTTGGATGGGCATAAACTGTCCTTGAGAAATGCCCACATCTCCTGGTGATGGAGAAAGCAAAGGGGAGCTGACTCTGAATCTAGAGGCTTTGGATAAATGCCAGCAGGATCATTCTGCTTGCCCTTCCAGGGCAAACTGTGGTTTCTTCTCTGTTTTTAGACATCACAGGTCTAACCCCTTCCTCACTAAAAGCAGTGAAGGATGTCCTTTCATATCCAGATAATAGATCATGCTATATACTCAATCAACAGTTTGTTATCAGCCCAGGAATGATAGGAACAGGCTTTGACAAACACAAAGTCTGCTGGGCCTTAGTGACAGTTATTCCCCTGTTTTGCTATCAGCATTTTCCGAGTTTTTACATGCATATTGCTCATGCACATGAACACCCAGGAGAAAAAATAAAAATCTAATATGCATGATTTGTAACTGAAAGGATTAAGAAAGTATTTCTTCCCCTGTACATCCCTTGTGCATGTAATTTTTATCTCCACTTAACAACATTTCTGACATTTATTCTAAACAAGTGACAAATGCATTTCAGCGAGGGCTGCATTCTAAAAGGGGTGTTGTATTTGTTAATAAATAATTTTATGGCTTTTGCGTATTCACTGAACTTTGCTGAGTGATTGCTAAACATGTTATTAATATTGAATTCTAAACAACAAATACAAGCAAATACTGAGTCACTGGCGGGGGAGGGTTTGGTTTGGCTTTTTTTTTTTTTCCTTTGTTCCAACAATGAAATGATACTAAGAAATCTCTGTAAGTGAAAAAAATCCGGAGGGTCATTCCATCTACTTGGCAGGATTTAAGCACAACGTACTTCTGGAAAGCTGGAAAGCCAGAGCCAGCATATTCAGTGTTCTCTCTCATTGGTGGTTCAGCCACATGGGATGCTAAATAACACAGCTGTACACACTCTGACAGCCAACTATTAATAACTTGTGCCCCCTCTGATTGCCTCCAGAAGCCGTACCAGCATCTGTGGGGAAAGAGGTGAGCAGTGAGCGTAGCTGGGCTGACCCAGATTTCTGTGGAGCTGGTTAGCTCCTCATGCCACACTTTCACTAGAGTTGACTTCTCTTGCAAGATTACTTAATTTCTCTGTAATACTATTGCTAGTATTATTATAGGAATAACAACAACAATTGTTGAGCATGAATGATTATTCTTTGAAAACCTTACATTTAAATAGCTGCCATTTGGTGTAAAACGTTTTTGATGATATTTGACCTACTTTAATGACACAAAAGAATAGAATGTCACAGATAAATACTGGCTTTTAAAGATCTGCTCATGTATGTTTGTAGCTGGAGTTTCAGTGTCTGACAGAGGACTGCCTCTTACCCACCACATACCCTACCATGTCTGAATCCAAAACTCAGAGATATTGAAGGGAAGAGGTTTTCTCCTTGACTTTACTGGGGTTTGGATCGGGCCCTAACCTGAGAGGTTGTCTAAAGATGTGGGATACAGAGTCAAGGTCCCACTGCTCTTCCTGACCTCCTTCAGAGTTTTGGGGAAGTTAGTAATTTGCTCTCAGAAGACCAGCTGATTGCATTGACTGGATGCATCTCAGAAGTTCTGGTTGACGTGACTCAGCAGCAGTATCTAAAGCATCAGGATAGAAGGTAGATTATCCCATTGGCCCCACCTATGTCCCAGAGGATTTCTGCAGACTTGCCCAATACCTCTTTCCTATTCCATTTGAGTAACCGTCAGGTGTGGTTGAAATATTTCAGTTACTAGAAACTTGCTAAGAGGAAAAAAAGAAGTAAGAAAAAAAAAAAGCACCATGAGGAGCTGACTCAGACTGAAACAAGCGAATAGTGGTGTTATGACAGGCGCTGAATTGAGGATCCAGGCTGGCTCAGCAAGAGTCCTTCCTTTGGGGAAGCACGTACTGCAACAGGAAGTTTGGTCACTGTCACTGATTTCCCACTTCTGGGCAATCTTGTATCATGCTTGGAAAATGTCAGAGACCCTTCGCTAGATGATCTGCTGATGTGGCAGCTCCAACACAACGCACGGTTGGCCAACAAGGACTGTACCTCTTCATTTCTGCTAAAGATTATCTGTATCAGAGACCAACCTTTTGGTTACACCCTGAAAAAATCACCAGCAAGGGAAATTGCATGGTGACAAAATCTTCCTGGCCTTTGTCTCCTGTAAGAAGAAGGCATTTCCTTGTGCAGTTACCTTTCAGAGGTAACTGCAATAACTTTCCTCATCTGAGCAATAGCCTTATCTGGTTGAAGTTAGACTTGTTAACGTCAGCTAAGACTCTGAGCTGGTGCACATACGTGTGTGTGTGATCAAAATGCAAAGAATAGGAAAGTTTAGATGTTCAAAAGTAACCATCCATGAGCAATTCCTGTGCTTTTATCAAGCAAATATTGCCTTTGGATCTCATGAGCTTAGGTTTGTCTGGCTGTATCCAGCAGCTTGTGCTGCTGGGTGACACAGGCAGACTGTTGATGGAGTCTTTCTCCTAATGAGGGTTTTGGCTAGTAAGAAACAGGAAATTCAGAGGGCGGAACAAGAAGCAATTTAGAGGTTTAAAAACTGACTGAAGCCTGTTTCCATGAGCACCCACAAAAAGGGAGGGCTGAGTTAGCTACCCTCTCAACTGATTTTAGCCACACACACTTAGGCACATACACCCAAGAACTGCAAATTCCCCACCCTGCCTCAACGCACTCGGTGGGCCCCTCTCTCTGCTACGTCTGGAAGAACAAAAATGTCACACATTCTGACGAGCACATTTTCCATCCTGAAACTGCACTGGTTTCTGGCTTGCTACTGGGACTCAGGTCAGGGAGAGGAGAACAACGTTGTCTGCCTGCATTCAGCAACCTTGAGCTGTTAACCCTGCTCACCTTAGAGGAGCATTTTGCCGAGGAGTGAGGTTGCCGAAGTGAAGAACATGCGACCAGTGGTACTGAGCTGTCTGCATTGAGTGCTTATCTGAAAGGGTGGGCAGCTATGACCCCGCAATAGGTCTTGATCAGTGTTGTGTGTGTTACCAGGCAGACTTTATAGGGAAACAGCAAACCAAACTGAAGACACTGATACTCAGGGTGGCTTGTACCCTCACAAGAAGATGGCACTGTACACTCTCTGCAAGACTCTTGTTTTACTGGGTGAGTCCTGTCCTCCTCAGCTGCCCACACTCTCCAAGAGATCCAAGGACCACATTGCTGCTATACAACCCTCCTTCATGAACTCCCAGTATCTCAGTTGTTCAACAGTAGCAAGGCTGTGGATCTAGACAGCCCTGCTTCTGCTAACACCAGAGAGACTTAGATCACTTGAGAATATGTATGTGATCGACAGCTGGCCACATTGGTGGCTCACATTTTTTTTCCCATATAACTTAACTTCTCGTTCCATAGAACAGAGAAACTGTATGGAAACCCTTGGCATCCAATGCGTGGCCTGATACTCTTTTGCCCACTAAATGCTCTCCAGGAACCTTTTTCATCCTTTTGCTTCTTTTATCTCTTTCTCTCTTTACATCACTGTCTCTCTTTCTTCTTCAACAAGTACTGTAGGTCTGTCTCCATCGTAAAGGCCAGAGCCATTCAGGTACTCCTCATCTTTGTTGTACTGCTCTGGTCCAGAAGAAGGCATGGAGTTTTCAGAAATGGAGCCATTTTTTACATAACCTGGCAAATTCCGGTGTCCATTGAGGGTCCCTGGTATAAGTCTTGTATTGAGATGGAGGGCAAGTGCTCCTCTTGTGGCTACATTTGTGATGCTGGTGTGGGAAACCATTGGTCCATAACTGTAGGTTGTACTCCCACTTCGTGCTTTCCTTTTAAAGTCAAGTGCTAATGTCCACCTGCTCCATGACTTCTTTATTTCTGCTTGGACCTGAGAAGCAAAAGGGGATAAAAAAGCATAAGTAGGAGCAGATGGGAGCAGGAGGAGGTAGTATCCGCAGACAGCATGGGTGAGAAACATTCTGGGGAGTGAAATTGGAAGGAACACTAAATTCACATTAAATCTGCCCTTTCCAAATGAAATATTTGACATTGGAAAGCTTGAATAGCTGAAAACATCTAACTGAAATATGTGTTAACTCTCTCCCAGGGTTAAGGGACATGATCAGCTCCCCTTATGATAGGTATTTTATCTTAGTTTTATGCTGTAAAACTTAAGCAGTGGATTTGTAGTTTCATTTAGCCTTAAAATCCATAAACTTAGGCCAAGCCAGCCTTATGCTGGACCAGTCTTATGCTGGGCCACATTCTGTTCTTTCTCAGTGTACAGCCACTAACCATCTAGTTTCTTAGTTGGCAGGAACAGAGGGAATTAGTGAAAAAAAAAAAAAGACATTAAAGCATTATCACTTTGGAAATAGAAAAAAGGTCAGAAAAGCCTGGACAATTAAAAGAGCTTGCTGGTTAGGCAGCTACTCTATTGATCCACTTTTCTTCCTACCACAGATCTCAAATTAAGCAACACTAAACAGCACTTATGCTAGGAAAAGGAAAACCACATTTTTTTCCCCTCCATTAGCTACTTCCAGTAGGTTATTTATTGGTGACATATTGACCTGGATATCTTATATGTCAAAAGCAAGGATATGAACTTTCTATGTGCACTGACATATCTTTCATTGAGAGCAAAACAATGTTGTGTCTCTAAAATAAGTGAGGAGATGCTGATGTGCATCTGCCTTACCATATGTGTGTGAAACTAATGTAACAAAGGAGAGAAATAATTAAGAAGCTGGTGACATACCTCTCCATTGCAAAAACAGTATATGATGGCAACAAAAAATCCCTAGAAGGAAGAAGAAACAACATACTAATGTTAATCTTGCTGCATGTGAATATTTCTTTTCTGATGACACTGCCCAGCATCTCTGTGTTCCTCTGAAATCAATGACATCCACAGTATGCAGTATATAATATGTGTAAGAAACCTTGCATTGTTCAATAGCACATGAGAGACAGATCGACACAGACATTTTCCTTCAGACTATTGACAAAGTAGATAGACTATATAAGCCCTCTGGGTCATGGCTTAGCCATGGGACTATTTTCACCCCCAGAGCTATTGCAGAGGTTGCAAGATGCTGATGGGTGCCTGGGAAGTTGGTGGCATCTACCTCATTGGGCATGTTTACAAACTATTGTATAAATATTTCTAGTGTTTTACATGTAGCTCATCCTGCTGCAGGATGTCAGAGTGGAAGGTGGTTCTGATGGGGCTTTTTCAGCTCTGGCTGTAAGTGGGGTAGCCTGTGTGTGAAGTAGAATGGACTTAATGGGATCAGCAAAGGAATTCAGATGTGAGCAAACCATCTACATCTTTGTGTTGGCCAATAGCTTACCCAGATCTTGTTGAGGTAACCTACTGTTTCATCCTATCTACACCCAACAGGGATTGTGGAAGCACATGAATGTAAGCTTGCTCCCCATCTCTCTTGCAGTTTTGCTAAACCATCACCTGGCCAGACCAGCTGTCCACATTTCATCATCCACACTGGTCAACCATGACGATAGTAGCATATGAACCAGAAATTCATCTCTCAGGGAAAGGTGTGCAGTAACAACCAAACACTGCTTTGCTTGTAGAGGGTTATGTATTCTTGCTGCTGTGTCTTGTATAGGACCGGTACTGTAACTGAACCTGCCTTTTGCTCAAACCTAAAACTGAGGAATCCATTCACAGGACTGAAAGACAACTTTGGGACAAGCAAAATGGAAGCTAATTTGAAACAACATGTCTCTGTGGAGAGACCAGATTACGTCTAACCTGGATTTAAAGGGATTTATTCTGTGGGGCAAGTTATCTTTCAGCAGGAACGTTTTTTTGTTGAACACACTGAGCCTTTATATGTTGTGTTTAGCAAATATAGAACATAGTTGATGCTAAAATACTGTCAAATCACCTTGTGAATGAAATCTGGTGTATTGTAAAAACAGCCCTGCTTCCAAAGACAACCTTACACTTTCATTTCTCTTCCCACCCCACTGAAATTCTTTCAGTTCTTCCCCATGGTTTAACAGTTTACAGTACCTGGAAAGAGTTGAACAGCATTTCATAGTGCATTTGAACTTGCCAAAGAATCCCTGACACATCTGTGTATGGCATAGCCATGAAAACAATATAGTGAACGCCAAACAGAGGCATAAGGACGAGGGTAGATTTCAGCAGCTTCCTATAGCAATAAGAAGAGAGAAAGACACAGAGGAAATTAGTGGGTGGAGTATACCTCCCAGTCAAACTTGTCCACCTCATACCCTGGGCACAAGTTGAATGTAATTTCATACCTGCTTGCATGTCCTCTTGACAAGGTTTGGATATCTTACATTTACACAGGCACTGTGTCCCCCTGAAGTTTCAAACTTACTTCTCTTATGGCATGTGACACAACCCAGTCCATCTCAGGCATGTGTTGATGTGCTAGTCTAACCTTCTGCACATACATGTCCCCATGTGATGCTATATATACTGGAGATTAAGATTCTGAGATGTCTTTTTCAGCCTCAGACTATCCCTGTCTTTGGCTCAGGATCATGGGTACAGGGTGGAAATGTGACTGGAAAGAAATTTGCACTGCTGCTTCCAGCACTCAGCCTCTGACTGGCACTAAATACCCTTGTCATCATAGAATCATGGAGTGGTTTGGATTGGAAGGGACCTTAAAGCTCATCCAGTTCCAACCCCCTGCCATGGGCAGGGACACCTTCCACTAGACCAGGTTGCTCCAAGCCCCATCCAACCTGGCCTTGAGCACTGCCAGGGATGGGGCAGCCACAGCTTCTCTGGGCAACCTGTGCCAGAGCCTCACCACCCTCACAGGGAAGAACTTCTTCCTTTATACCTAGTCTAAATTTACCCTCCTTTAGTTGTTTTCCCTAAAGTCAGTTTGTCTCTAAATGCTGGTCTGCTTCAGCTTATGACAACTGGACATGGTCCTCTACAACCTACAGTAACTGACAATGCTGGAGCAGGGAGGCTTTGGATACATGACCTCCAGAGATATCTTCCAACCTCAACCACTTTGTGATTCTGTGATTGAGCCTGTTTATTGAGGCAAGACACGAAGGTCCACCCTGGGTTAGTGCCTCCTGTAAAGAGCAGGGCTGGTGGAGAGGTAAGTGCATCTAGGAGCAGAATTCCTCTAGATATCAAGGGGAAGAGGACAGTGCACTACGGGGTGAGCATGGTGAACACTCTCAGGAGGTGCTTTGGACTGCCATCTCACTTGGAAAGCCCCTTTTTAAAGAAGCAGATCCACCTCAGCAGAGGACCTGTGCTGGGGACTGGGGGGAGGTACAGTGCAACCCTGAGTACTTGGCTGCGTTTGCTCCCGACGGAACCAGCCTTGCCTGGAAGTGATATTAATTGAAGGAGTAAACATTCTGCCAAGAGTTACAGCAAGTCACCAAGTGCAGGCAATGACTGAGAAGGGTGGACATCATTACCAGAAAGACCTGGTACCTCCTCTGTCCAGCAACTGGAAACCGCTGAGGGAATTATCATATTAAAAGGAGAAGGTTGCATCCAAACCATAATTAAGAGCAAGCTTCAGCCAGGAGGAAATAAACAAATAGATAAATCAGAGCCCTGACAGGGCAGCAAAGCAAAATAGAGAGGTGTTTTCCTGCCAAATCTCATTCCTGCTTCAAATGAAACGTCTTGTGTTTGGAGAGTGAGATGGTAGCAATGAGCTCATGGTTTGCATCCCAAATCTTTCTGCCCCCACTCCCTGCCTTTGCTGGTCATGCTCGTCAGTCAAGCTCAGGAGATTACAAGAAGCCTTGGGAGCAAACAAACAGCCAAGGTGTCTCAACAATCTGCTTTTTCTGTGCAGTTTTGACCATGCTACAAATATCCTAAATTATCAAGAGAGAAGAGCTGGCAGAACAAAGGAAAATAAAACAAGCAGGGATATGCCAGGTTTCCAGCAAAGAGTCAGGAATCCTTTTTTCCTTTCAGCAAAGGCACTGAAACATCCACTGAAATGCAGATTTAACAAACAGACCAAGTTTTACAAAGTACAGGAGAGAAATGAAAAAAATAAATAAACTGACACAAGTTTTAGGGACTCCAATGGCAAACACAATGCTTTTATTTTTGAACTTTTGTTTCAAGGCCAAATTGGCTGAAGACTGAATTCATTTCTTTAAACTACAAGGCAGGTCCCCCAGGTTGTATTTGAAAGGTTTAGGAGATGTTTGAACTGCTGTTGATTCATTCTGCCTTACCAGACTTGGAAGACAGCATTCGTTTCACCTTATTTTAGGTGTCTACAGTGTAGACACTCTAAACTAGTCACCCTAGCCTCCTTCTCTAGTCAAGGGGTGAAACAAAGACTTTGACATCTCCCCAAAAGTGGAAAGGGTATGTGACTCACCTGTACTGTTGTCTTGAGTCACACCTCCCTGCATTTGTCTCTCGTAGCTTGGTTGCTAGGACTCTGATAATATTGATAAAAAGAATAAAATTTACCTGGAAGAGGTGGGAAAAAGAAACAACACAACAAAGAAAGGATAACTGTTAATAAAGATGCAGTCAATGGTAAGGCTGTTCAGTCAGTGCTTTCCCCAAGATGAGTGAAGGGGCTGTGGCAGTGACCTGATCATGCTGTGTGAAAAGCTCCTTCTGGGGGAGCTTGTACTGTGGAAGGGATGAGCTCCCCAGGAAAGACCACAAATGGTTTGATGGGATCTAGTCATCTGTGTTCAACCTGAATGGTTGAGAGAGAGAAGGGAATAGCTGTCTCTGACAAAGTGTGGGCATCTCACATGGATACACCTACATCTGTGCTAGCTAGCCTGGCAGACACCTGGTAACGGGACATGATATCAGTATATAAGGCAGTGCTTATCAGGCATTTTGAGGCCTGGACTACAGACAACTGTCAGTATTTTTCACACCATCTTTTTAAAAAACTCCATACAGAAATATGGGTCATTTTCATAGCCTTGTAAATCTCTCAAACTTAGCTTGGGATCTAAGGAGCAGACTGAAATACGGTTATATTTGTCTCTTGTAGCCCACCTGAGAATTAGATACCCTCTGGCTAAAAGAAGCATTAGTAAGATGCCTTTCCATATTTTCTTGTGCAAAAGGAAAGAAGAGTAAGCAAACTGCACCATGACAAAGACATGGAGTAGCCCTAACAAGACACGAGAGATCAAGAATGCAGAAAGGCAATAGAACTGTAAAACTTCTGTTCTATATGCACTGCTAACTGTTCCTCTGGAGGAGTGTTTAGTATGGACTGGATAAGGACAATAAGTAATACCTATTTCCTACTCAGGGAGCCACCTCTACGAGCCCATCTTGTGGCCAGCTGCTCAACTGAGCTAATCCAGTCCTACAGGAACATGCTCATGGTGACCTGTGCTGCAAAAGGCAATGGCACCATTTTATGGCTGCACTGACACTTACCAGAGGGGGGAAATGAGGACATGTTTGAGGGATTCTCAGCTTTTTGGAGCTCTTCAGAGACTGGTTTCACTAGGGCTGGATTTACATCTGCTGCTGCCCTAGACTATCCTGTTTTTGGGACTATGGAAGGCCATAAATAGAACCATTGTGTAACTGTCCACTGGGCTGATCCATGTTGCTGGGCTAATGCTGATGCCTATGGGTTTCTTTTGAAGCTTGCAGCAGTCATTTGACTTCTCAGATGCCAGTATAGTGGCATTTCAAGGAAACAACTTGCCATGTCACACACAGGCTCATAGTTTTATGCCAGAAGGGACCATTGTGAACTTCTAGTCTGATCTCCTGCAAAACGCAGTCCATAAGACCTCCTTGTATTAATTTTTCTTTGAGTTATAGCAGATCTGGGTTTCAGTGTTTCCATGACGGAGATCCTACCACAACCATTGCTAAGTTGTTCCAACGTTTAATTATCCTCACTATTAAAACAAGTAGTTCCCTGAGCCACTGAATGAACACGGCCTGGTTTACTATGGCTTTGTCTTCTGTGGTTGGATTCCTTCTCCTTTAACGAGGTGCAAGTTCATTTTGAACAGCTCTCCTCTGTGTTAAAAAGGAGGTGAGGTTGTACTACACCCATTCCCTTGAAGGGGCATTAGTAGAATTTCTCTCCCATATCTACTCAACTGTTTTCATGAGGTTTTTGGGAATTTAACATCCATGCAACCCCATTCCCTTCGTTACATTTGGTTGGAATTTACTGACTGGCACAAAAGCTATAGGGAAAAGATGGATAGACTGACAGGCAGAGAGGCATACAGCCTAGGGCATTTAATTAATTTTCATTGGAAATCAATCTGAAAGGGAAAGAAAAGAAAAAAAAAGGGCAGGCTTTGTTTCTCATATGAGTTTTTCTAGCTTCAGAAGCTCAAAAGTGGGATTTTGTTCTGCATTTGTTGGCTAAATTGAAGATGTCCAACTGTATCACAGTCAAGAGGGAAAGTCCTCTGACTTCCTGAAAAGTGCTAAGTTTCAAAAGAAATCCAGACTACTGAATAAGATCAAAGCTACCAGCAGAATGGATGGATTTTAAGCCCCTCAGCCTCCAAATTCTCTGCACTACATCCAGAAAATGCTGAAGTTAGTCCAGCAACATACGACAAGCTAGTGTGGGAATTGAAAAGGCAGCCAAGTGAACAATACGAACCCACAGAAATTAAACAGAAACAACCCACAGAATATTTTTGCATGATAAATAGCTGCATTTGCAAATAGCCAGGCTACAAGCACAGCAGAGCCTCGTGGAGAAACATTGTTTTTACAAGGACAAGCCTTAATTGAGCTCTTTCTCCTCTGCTAATTGGGCTTTAAATTAAATGCAATGGGGTTGCTGGCATTCATCTAGTTGAACTATCTGAACTTCGTTCTCCATCCTACTATTTCATTTCCAGTGACTACAATGTGGGCTTGGTGATTCGTTTCTTCCAAGGTGCAGAACTATTTGCTAGAGCCAGGTGGAGAATTTCCACCAAAAGGAAATTCTGATGAAGAAAAAAGCCCCCCAACTCAAAAGCAGCTCACCTAATCACATGTATGAGCACGTTCACCTCAGAAACTTTCCTGCTGTTTATATGCAGATGGTCTGATTTTTCTCTCATCCACACTGATGATCTTCTAAGGCTTCCTGATGTGCGAGTTGCAAGGAATTATATACAGCTTGATGCAAAACCCTCTGAAGACTGTAGGGAGATTCATGGATGAATGTAAAGAGGACCTAGGATGTGTGGGAGTGGACAAGCTTTCCTGCATGCTCTCATGTAACCATCAGAAGATAGAGTAATGGAGAACCACAGAGACTGAGGGGGAAGAAAGGGTATTTAAAGGAAACTATGAAAGCAAGTTCTCTAGCTAATTAGGACCCTGCTCTTGCAAATGCACACTACCCATCTGATTATCTTTGTGAGTTCTTCAGCTTGTGAGATCTCAGTCCTTTGTCTGCGTAATGTTACTTACATCCTTTCTGTTCCCTCTGGTTGTTGGGTGGGGGCTGAAGTAATCCTCCATCAGTGATTATCATTGTGTCCAATCATAGCTGGGATGGTTTAATTTCCATCCCCACCTTTGAGTTATCCAAAGCTTTTATCAGTTCAGAAAGATTGTCTGAGACAATCTGATGACACTGAAGCATGACTGGGGAAAAGGTTTGGTCTAGGTATGGAACTCAAATTCCAGTTCTTCCGACTGGAGATTCCTGCTGAGAACATGTTATGAACCCTGAGGGGTTCCCCCCATATCATATGGGTTGGGAATATTGGTTTGAATATGTGTTTAACTAGTGATTTTAGCATCTTACTCCTGCATCATTCTTCTCCCCTAAGCAAAACTTGAAGTTGCTCATAAGCCCTCTGCAGTATGCAGCTATCAAATTTAGAGGCAGGTCAAATATAAATCCCTTGAACTGGATATATAGAGACTCCATGGTATTAAGGCAGGAGTTGTGTTAACAGGGTGATTAGAGTAGGGCCGTCTGGCTCAACTCTTCCCACTGGGCCTGCATCAACCAAAGGCACTGCTTCCACCCCTTGCAATCACCCAGTACTCACCACTATAGCTGCCAGGATGGGCACCTGAATAATCCATTTTAAATTGCCAGCACTCAAGTCCCAACACCTGAGAAAAGATTGACATCCCATCAGGAAACCATTGGTTACAAAGAGCAATACAGTCAAGCATCTTGTTGGATAAAACCACCCTGAAAGAATGGGTTCCTCCAAAGCATGATGTGGTGGAAGGACTTAGCTCTATCCCTGCCTTCAGTTGTCATGGCTTTGAAATTAGGCCTTTCTCCTGCTGTTATAATGTACAAAACTGAAATCACTAATAGACGCATTTACAGTTATGCTCTCCAGATGGTGGAACAGCTCTTTTCACAGCCATAAAGGCTTGTTCCTGCTTCTGGGCAGGAACCCACCCTTTTCCACTTCTTCACCTTCTTACTGTAAAAAACTACGATCTTCGTGAAAACAAGAGGCTGAAATGGCCAAATATTATCCCTTGAAATAAACCAGCACCATGTTGCATGGGTCCTGTCTGAAGACAGTGGTGGGGACAACATTGTGGTTCTACATTCAGTTCCTGGGTTTCCTTCAGCCCTGCTCTTGCAATGAGACCCAGCCCTGCCTCACAAAAGCCTTTATCTCTTTTTCATCTTTAGCCCTTATCCAAGTGAAGACTGGAAGGGCAAACTGTTGGTGGCGTGGATATTGGGCTATTCCCTCTGCCAAGAAGGGGCTGAACACTATTTCCTCCCAGGAGTTTCCAGCAGCTATTAAATAAGGTCACTCAGTGTTAATTACTCTGAATTCTCTCCAACCACGGAGAGAGGAGTGCCACAGGCTTTTCTTTATCTGAGCCAGACGGCCCCCACAGGGAAGCTGCAGTTTTCATTTCACTGGCCAAATACTGCCCAGGCAGCTATTCAAGGAAAGCGAGAGGCAGGGGCAGAGAAACCACCAGTGCTGACTGAAAGACGAGGATAAGGCTCTGCCAGTGCAGATGCGTCAGACCTCAGTAGCTGTGCTATTCCATCCTTCCAAGCCTGGAGCTGGTATCCCATTTAGGAAACCAGTGTCCTCCTAGCGGAAGACATTTGAAAAGCTACCTGGGGACCCCACACTTTTGCTGGTGGATCATGGGCTGGTGAAACCCGTTGTGTGGTCAAGCCTGTGCATCATGGGGAGAAAATGTGATTGTTTGGGGGTTTGAGGGTTGGATGCTATGCAACCTTCATTCAGCACTGTAAGAGTAAGAAGCCATGAGGGTGCATGCGTAGAACTAAAGAAGCAGCTGATCTGTATCTTGTTTCTGACAGTACCCAGAAGCTGATATTTAAGGTGGAACAGCAGTTCTGCCTAAGCAGGTAGTAATGTTTTTCTTGCTTTTTCTTCCAATACTTTGCTGTTCAGGATGGCTTCCTGAGCCAGACAATTACAGAATAACTAAGACTTCTAGAGGAATTTATCTTCCATGAATTTGTACAAATGCTTTTTAAACCTAAGGATATGCTGGCATCCACACCTCCTGCAGGGAGGAGTACAGCTTCCCCACCTCATCAACACTGTGCTGAGCCTGTTATCTCTCAACTTCATTCCCTTTCATTCAGGATTTTAAAGATCCCCATCCTGTCCCTGCCTAGCTGTGAAGCAGTACCTTTTAGCCCCAGGGATAACAGCTGCAAGTGTTCACATTTATCACATTCTGTAAAATGAAAGGAGAGCTGGGAACGTTGCACCCACTTTGTCCTTTCATGCCACACTCACCCCCAGAAGTTTGTTAACTTCATGGTAGGAATCGATTCTGGCTTTGCCAAAAGCCCCGCAAAAGAGTAATGCGTAAAAGAGAGAAAAGAAAACACAATGCAACTTACTCTGTGTCGGCTAGAGTGGCCCTCACGCTGGCCCATGCTGTAACAAATACAGCAGGGAGTCCTGCAAAAAAACACAGGTCAAGCAGGGTGAGAAGGGGGACTGGAGGGGTCCATTACCATAAGCGTAGGTGGAGTGGGAGAGAGGAAGGCGGAAGAATCAATTTTAAATATTTAAGCATAATTAGACCAAGAAAGCTGGGTCTTGGTGTTATGTCTCTTCTGTAGGCCAAATGGTAAACCGAACAGTGGCAGGGAACATTTTCTGGAAGGCAAATGTCATAGTCTGCACATGTCCACCCCACTGAACTCTCCTGGCTTTTGAAACAGTTCTCCAAAATCCCAGGAGTGGTCCAGGCTTAAGCTACCTCCTGGTTTGTGTTTGGGAGATAGCCGTGTGGTCTCTCCTGGGATGGTCATGGACATGACAGGATAAATCATCATGTCCCGTGGCTTTCTCTAATGCTACTTTATAGGTACACAACCTGCAGTGCTTGAACCTGGGTAACTGATACCTGCTCTAGCCCACTCATTCCTTTTGAAGCAGAGAAGGGTTTAATGCAGCACACCTTTCCCAAGGTATTTGTTCCCTTCCCCTGACATCAAAGAAAGGTGTATCTGGAGGCACGCTCAGAGCGTTTCTCCCAGCACAGGGCTGGATGGATTAGAAGCTTGTTAAGAGTGAGAGACTTGCTGCATGAAGCAGCTAAATGCTAGAATTTAGAGTAATGTTTGCAGAATATACTAGTCAAACTTTCACTCCCAAATGAACCATCCTTATTTCAGCACAGTTACACCGGGCTTCATCTTTTCCCTGTGAAAAGGTGAAGAATCACCAATAACCAAATGCAATCTTCTATTTATTTTTTTAGGGTCCAGTTCTGCTTTATTTGTACAACTGAGTCCCCTACTGGCTTCCCTTACAAGGCAGGATCAAATCCACAGTAGCTTCCACAAACTCAAGAAGAATAGCCCCTTTCAGGTGAGAAAAAAAATAAAAAATAAATAAAGGCGACATTTATCACTGATGACTGTAAATATGCTGTTCACAGTCTAAGCTAGTTGGGGCTCGGCATGCATAAGCACACGCTTAACTTTCAGCATGCACTTAAGTCTCATTAGGGTGCTTAAAGGCTTTCCTGACCACGAGCGCTTTCCTGAGCTGGGGTGTGGAGCAGGGATGCTTGTCTCGTACACACATGGACAACGGCGCCGTTATCTTGGTTCAAACTTTAAATGCCATGGTAATATAAGAAAGCATAAATAATTAAACACAGAGCCTCACTCAGGACCACTGCAGCACTGCTGCCTACAAAGATACATTTATAAGGAATGTACCCTTCTCTACAGTCCCCTGCAATGGCTGGCATTGGAAAGAAAATACTTAACCTATTGCACTGGGAACCCATGAGTGTGTTGAAGCCTAGGGCTTGGGGAGGGTGATGATTTATTGTAACAAACACTGCCTGTTTCCTCCTTACTGTTAATCTCCTATCTATGAAAAATACGTGCATGCTCCAGACTACTGGCTGAGATATCAAAGGCTTAAGTGCTGATACCATTGATGATATTCCAGTTTATATCAACTGAGAAACCGGCTGTGTTGAGAAGCTGACATGCCTGCTGCCCACCTGCAAGACAGTAGATGTTCACCCACTACTGTGAAGCTCTAAGTTTGAAAGACTGTTTCAGAGATTTGGATGTGTTTGACATGTGCTTGTTCCTCTCTAGCCTGTCCTGCACTTCAGAAGAAATACTGTCCCCATTCATACTAACCCTGTGCTGTGTTCAAGGTTCCTAGTGACAATAAAATATACAGAAGAAAATAATTACTCCTAAAAAAATCCCTATGTGTGGGTTTATTGTGGGTTTACTCCTAAAAAAAATCCCTGTGTGCTGCCGCATCATTTCGTTCAGGCAAGCTTAGGAAAAGGATCCTTGATATTTTCTGCAAAACACACCAAGTGAATTCCTGGCACTGGTTTTATTGCTACGTTTGTCTTTCTGTGTCCCTTACATAGTTCTTTTGCAGTGTTAACAATCCTGAACATTTTTCAATTCACAAAAAGTGGTATGAATCCTCTCCCTCCTTTTCCTCTGCCTCATGTTTAGATTCTTTCTACACCAACATATCATGGAGTGCTTGGGCTGTCAGGTAATTTCTAGATCTAATTCTCCCACTGTGGTAAGCTAGTCTTACAACATGAAGATTCAGAAGGTTTAGCTTTGCCTCCGGCACGTCTTTTACTTTCAGAGGGTGACAACTGTCTTTCTGGTTCTCCATTTGAAAGTTCTGGTCTCTGATGCCCCAAGATTGACAGTCCCTCCTGCTGAGCACTCATAGCACTCATTGATGGGAGAATCATTGACCCCCAAATCAGGACTGAAGTCCTCAAAGCCAGACATCCAAGGATGTCTGGAAACAGCAAGAAAACTGAGAGGGTGCAGCTCTGTGAGCAGGAAGGTAATTCATGTTTAAATGCATCTGGCCACCTCACCAGAGAAGGGAAAGCAAATCTCCAAAAAGCCTGTGATCTCTTGGGTAGCTGTGAGCAGACAGATGCAGTTGTGGATGGATGCGTGCCCCCTTGCACTTAAGTACCCCATGTGCACGACCAGTGTGACACAGGATGAACCCCACTGGGCGGTGATGCTGTGAATGACTTCTACAGAATCCACATTGTATGCGCTGTGCATTTCCAGTCAATACACACAGTGTGTACAATGCAGGTGCTATAAAGTCAGGTATCTCCCCAGCAGCTGGAAAATGCAAACCTCAAGCTGGGCAAAGTCTCGTGGCCATTCCAACCCCTTGCTTTCTTTTGTTGCTTTTCTTGTGTACATGTCTGCTAATAGCTGGAAAAGTGGCTTAACATGCGTGTGTCAAAGCTGTGAGTAAGGGAGGTGGCTGCAAAGCGACTGCTAGAAGAAAGCTTATGAATAAAGACCTTATGTAGGTCTACAAAAATCTGGTCTCAGTTCCCTGTTATTTGAAAACCTCTCTGAGGAACAATGCATGTGTTTTTTCTGCCTCCCTGTGTCACAGTTTCTTAATATTAAATAGAGCTAGTAATATCCTTTTTTTGCCTCTTATCCTGTTAGGTATGAATGCTTTCAGTCAAGGATGATTTCTGCTCAGGTAAACATTCAGGGTTCACCATCATGGGGTTTTTGGACCTGAGCACCTCTAACAGTACCACATCGATATATCTGTCTTTTCAGGTCTTCCTGCAATCCTCATTTGCACCGTAGCTGCAAGCCAGTGCAGTCCAGCCAGTGGCAGTGAATTAACACGGTGTGGAGGAAAAATGCCAGTGGAATCAGCTTGGGTTTTCTAGGTATTGGTCATGCTTCTTAGGCTTCCTTCATAAAACAGCTGCAGGGAACTTGAAGTCTGCTGGGGAATTTATTGTTGCCCATAATACCGTTATTTATTTATTTTTTTCTGGGTGCTGGCAAGGAACAAATTCCTTTCAGTCATCAGTGTCTCCCTTGCAAGAAGGGTGCTGCAGACTTTTAAGGAGCTGTGCTTCCTTGTGCCAGTGAGGATATGTATGGAAAAGACTCAACAGAAATCTTTGGGTGTGACATCAGAGAGTAACTATATGTTCTGGTTTCTTCAGTAGTCTGGAAATAAGGTGTTGTAGGGTGATTTTTGCTCCTTGCTCCCACCTTGTAAATTTCCAGGCAGGATAAATGCATGCTGCTTATCGTTATGCAAGCAAACAAACAAAAAAATCAGAGCTTTTGGGGCAAACTTGTCTTTGAGGAAGGTTATCATTATTTATCACTGATTCCCTGTTACTCATTTCTGTGGTATGGGCAGGATCCAGTGCCCACTGCAGGGAACTGGAGTTCTTCCACTGTCTCCAGTGGGTCTTGGATTGGGTTGCCCTTTCAAGTGCCCAAAAGCTATCAAAACAATACATCTGTGCGGGTGTGTGTGTGTACATTATCATGCTAATCAAAACAAAGCAAAACTGAATGCAACTGGAGGGATCCTATTTTCTCATTCCAGAGGAATTTAAACTGAGCAGCCTCAAACTTTTGGAAGCACACGGATGATTGGTGTTGTGACAGGTGTGACTTCAGCTTTGTGGTTGCTCTGATAAAACAATTATACTCTGGCTGTGGCTGGAGGAATTAATGAGAGAAAACCATGCCTGTTAGACTGTTTTCCTTTGGCTGCATTACAAGCAACATCAAGTTGGTTTTTCTTGTTAAACATAAGGCATTATTTTCCAGCTGTTTCCCTCTTTTCCAGAATTTGCTCTAGGGAATTGCTTTTTTATGTCTGCTCTGTACAGTTTAATGCCATTTTCTGAGAAGCAAATTTTATGTACCTTGAAGGTTTGGAAGAGGATGAGTTTGGGGTTTTTCTGGATTTGTTTTTTGTTTGTTTTAAAAAAAGAGGTGACACCTAAAGTCCTCTCTGCAACTGCAGTAAGAAATGCCCTGTCTCCAAAATATTTCACAGAATCACAGAATCACACACAGAATCATAGAATGGTTTGTGTCGGATGGGACCTGGAAAGATTGTCTATTTCAACTCCCAAGGTGGCAAGGGTTTCCACCATCCATATACTTCATGCCCCCAGATTTCTACAGAAATTGTGAAAATAGGGATTTTAAATCCCAATCTATTCAGCCTTCATTGCACCCTCTGAGGCTCCCTGTGACCCTTTTGTGCTTCAGTACTCTACGGGTACCTACCAACTGGTTGGGACTAGACTTTGCCTGAGAAATGGATGTCCACTTTGGGACTCATATTTACACCTCCCATCTTTATCATATGACAACACCACCAGTTTTTGACCTATACACCAGCTGAACATGAGGTTAACAAGGAGCTTCTGGTCCCCTTCTTGCCCATATGACACTTTGGAAAGAGAAAAGCTGAAGAAAGTCCTGCAGGCTAGACTGCCCTGTGTTACTGAATCCTTTGCTTGCTCTCCCAAAACAAAACCCTCCAGTTCTCCATAAACTCAGTTCTGCACTAACTGGTTTGCTCAGAACTCCACTGTTAGAGACTGGTTTTCTTCCAGAAGAAATCATGTTCTGGAATGTGGATGGTGTGGTGCACACATTAATCTTGCCCTAAAATGCAGTCAGGATGTGGCCAAGTACATTTTGGTCTTTTCTGGGGAAGTGGTCCTGTGCCATACAGTTTAGAGATAACCGTAGACACCTCTGAACAGTTCTTTCCTGCTGTAAAGTCCTTTGTAGGCCTACACCCCATTATTTTTAGTTATATCCTCAAGGATTTTGTAATACATTTCCTGTTCTCCCTTATAGTCCACACACTTCAGACAACTGTGGGCAGTTGTTATATTGTTCTCAGCTTACCAGCACCTCATAACTCCTTGCAAGCCAAGGCTAATGCCAGAAGTGAACAGAAAGCACATTCTTGTCTGAAATGTTTGTGCCCACAAAATATTTGCTAATGAGCACCCTCCCTACACCCACATCCCGCTCCTTTTTCTTTACTCCAGGGAAAAGATGCCCAGGTTAAAAGAAAAGGAAAAAGAAAAGTCTTCCCCATGGATCACAGGTTTCTCCTGGTGTTCCAACACTCATAAAACCTCAGGAGCTTTTTAAAGCAACTGAGATATGAGGCAGGAAATCAGAGCTTAGGTCTGCCACTGGGAGCAGATGCTCACAGCCTCATGCAACTTTCTGCCCCTCCAGCCCAGTGCCTGTTTCTCAGCAGAAGGCACTTGGCAGTGATGCAGGTAACTAAGAAGGCGCACTACAATCAGCTGTCACATGCAGACATTTGCTGCCCTGGAAGAATGGCAAGATATATTGTTACTCCAAGTTTGGGCTGATCCTTCCAGAAATCCTGGAAGTGCCACGGTTTAAATACGACAATTTAGAAATGATAACAGTTTCACAAGAGAGCTAACCTGTCCTTGCAAGAGTCATTGTGTCTCTGGTGCTTACCCTGCCTCTCTCCCCTCTTGTATATTTAGTATATGTACTATCTGCTTCAAAGACGCCTCCAACAAGCTTCTTACAGATCAGCTGTAAGGAGCAGCCATAACTTACCCCAGCCAAATAATGTGAATCCCCAAAGATACTTCTTCTCTGAGAAAAATGCCATGAAGATGAGGCTGTGGAGATAGAGCCCTTCCACCAGAATCCAGTAGTAATTGGTTGCCAGGAAGTAAAGGAAGAAGGTAACTGCTACTTTACAGCCTACCTGCAATGACCACAGAAAGACATGGTTAAGTGAGGAATATGGTGTAAAATTCTTGTTCTGCATAAAACCATCATTTACAAAAATGGGATGGAAAACAAGATGAAGAAAGGGAAATAATCAGAAAATTCTGTTCCAGGGCTTTCACAAGGCGGAAAAAACAGTGTAAGAACAGAAGAGATGACCAACTGAGAAGAAAGCTTCCCCTCAGCTTGACATTGTGTGTCCAATAGCAGGTGAGTTGGGAGGTGCAGGACTACAAGGCACTTGCGGAGACGTTGACCTCATCCTACTCTCTTCCAATCCCAGTGGTGAGGGTCACACACACTTTCAAAGGCAGCTGTGTTTCATCTTTTCCCTCTGTCTCTTGTCTATGTTAGGGAGGAAAGGGCTGTAGCCTTGGTCTGGGTGACCTGGTGCAAGTCACATCACTTGGAAGTATGAATCCCTCCTCAGCTCATGGAGAGATATGGGCACCATGCTGAAGGTGAGTCATCCCATCCTGTTGTGGATGTTCAAGACAGGGTCCTCCAGGCTGCCTGTCTTTCCTCAGTGACTCTGAAGACACTAGATGGCTGCTGTAGGCTTTGGTGACTGGTCCTCCAAGGCGATTTCAACCACAGTGTCAAGGTGTTTTCTGAACAGACCTAAGCAGCAAGATAGGAGACCTGGTAGAGACTCCCAGGACATACTAATCTTTAATAGATTCATAAGCTGACCTCTCACTCCTCAGTGACCTGGAATCCTTTGCTTTCATGAGAGGAAAACCCTGACTGCAACTCAAGGCTCTCCTGTCCTTCTGCCACAGTGGGGTAAAGCCACCCTTCTTTGAGAGGGAGTGGGAAGGGATGGAGAGAGGTTATGGAGAATGAGGGAAAGGGGGAGCTGGTGTCCCTCAGTAGGGTGGAAAACCCACATGAAAGTGGCCAGGTGTTCAACAGAGAGGACAGAGGAACAAAGCCTGGCGAACAGTCTGCTCCGGTGATACTCACAAACTGTGATTTATCTGCTGGAGGTGCTTCAGTAATGGATTTTAAGTCTTCCTCTGAGATCCTTTCCATCTCCTCCAAAGCTGACCCAGAGTACAAGACTGCGTCCTTCACAAAGATGCTCACGGCTCTCAGCATGAAGGAGACAAACAGGTGCATGTGGATGTAGTTTCTAGTGCAGTGCAAACGTCTGGAGGAGAAGACAGAGAAGGATTGGAGTATTTTAGACCATCTGTTGGACTGTCTCAGGGATCACCTCTGCTTCTGAAGAACCCCAGCTCCTCTCATCAGCACTGTGCCACCATGGGAAGCAGTGCTAGTGCCACTGCTACCCTGTGCTCACAGTTCACCCATGGGGTTGGTAAAATAATTAATATCTCCAGGGTTTTGGCTGCAGCACACTGCTGTTGGCTTTGCATTAGGACAATTCTGTGCCTGTACTCAATTAAACTCCTTTATTTCTGGCTGTGAAATCTTGCAGAGAAACAGGGCTGCATTTTGCCTGTGTTGGGCATGGGTAATGAACATGCATGCAGTGGGCAGCGCGGGCATTGAGGATGGTGTGTGTGCAGTGCACATGCAGCTGGAGGAGGGTATGTGGTACGCAGTCCATACTCAGTGTATGCAAATCTGGAGTGTAGTGTGTGTGCAGTGTGCATGCACCTGAAGGCAGTGAGAGGTGCATTTGTATGAAGCACATGTGCAGTGTCAGCACATCTGGTGAACATCAGGACAAATGCAGTGGATGTGCAGCTGATGTGTAGGGTATGTGCAGTTAGCATGCATCCAGTGTGCAGGGTACATCCAGGGAATGTACATCTGGTGTGCAATGTGTGTTCAGTGAGCCAACAATAGCTGGGCAGTGTGTGCATGGCAGGCATGTCCCTGGTGCTCAGTGTACATGCAATGAGTGTGCACCAGACGTGCAGTCATTTTCCAAGATGTATAGACAGAAGGCAGCATACATGCACCGTGGTCACCACTACTAAAGTGTGTATTCTGTGTGTGTCCCTTTCACTGTTAAATCCATCCCTCCAACAAATACACCCTTCTGAGTCAAACCCTGCATTTAAAAACTTCACAGAGGAAATGAACTACAAAGGCTACAGTCCTTGGGGCCACTAAAAACCTTGCAGAGGTTTGTGTAAACTGCTAGTATTTGTGCCCACTCCAAATTTAGTAGCAACTATAATAGTTACTATAGGGTGCTCAGCTGCCTTCTTGTTTCAGTTAGAGATGCTGTCCTTTGCTTGGTCATATTGAGCCGTTTCTGGGCTCCACCCCAGCAGTGGCAGCAATGACCCCAAATGCTGATTGTAAAGCGCTTTAAGATCCTTTCCGGGGAAAAGCCAGATGGTAAGAAGTGAATGGGTTAGGCTTGTATTTATGAGGTGTGTTTTAGAAACTGTAGCCATGCCTTTGGGGAGAAGAAAGAATTAACTGACCTGTTGAAGTCCCCTTCTGTCCTCTAGACCTCAGTTGCCTGGCTAACCGTGCAGGAATAAATTCATACCCCCTTAAATCCCCAGCTCCAAAAATGGAAATAAAAAGTCAAAGCCCAAAAGAAGATGGGCTTTGTTCCCTGCATTTGAAAGGTGATCACTGAATTTCTGGATTATGTGTTACCTGGAATAAAATCTGTCTTGGTCCCTGCTGCTGCTTTGATCCCTGGGACAAAGACATTTTAGCACAGTTGCCCATGTAGTCTGGGCTGTAAATGGAGAGCTCTGACTACATGAATAAAGACAGAGTATGTCTCCTGAAACTAGGAGTACTCTTCCATACATGAATACTAAATAGTTGAACAACCTGCCACTGTCCAGTCAGAAATGAAACAGAAGGGAATGGGTTGAGAGGACAGGAGGGTGGTGGCAGGGATGGGTTCTGGGAAGTGTCTCCAGGAGGGATCTGCAGTCCCCTTTGGCTCTAGCGTGTCACGAATTCAGGTGCTGGGATGCTCTGCTGTACAAGTAAATTCCCTTGACCTCCATTTGTTCACAGAGATGCCTGAGCACATTCAGTGCCAAAGGCCACACATTTTATTCCCACTGGTATGTGTCTGAGGCTTAGCTTGAACTTGCACGATGGGAGCTGCTGAGCCTATCTATCTGCAGACACCATGTGGCTGTTTGCTGTGCGGAGAATTTCTCTTCACAGCTGTTGTCTGGGTCCTGCTGTCTGCTAGGAGAAGAAACTGCCAGCCACAGAAGGGAAGCAATCTGGGACTCAGGGGATCGAGGGTCAGCACCTGCTCTATCTGCAGCTCATCAGGTATGGTTTCCCAAAGGACAAACTACTAGCCATGAGCAACTCCTTTCATTCATTACATCCTATGGTCTCTGTGGCTGCAAGAAGATGCAACAAGTAGGCTTGAGGAAAGGGTGGCGTGGGTTCAAGATGTATCTAGGGGTCTACATCACCTGGTAGGGGTGATGGAAAGGGACGGCAGACAATCAGAGTTAGGAGGGTGAGCGGTCATTTTTGGATGAGGTCCCATTCAACTGATCTACCCTTCATGAATACTGGGGTTTAGAGCGGAATTTCCCTTATGAAACCTTAGTTATCTAAACATTAGCCATTTAAATCTAAGCCAGTCATCTGAAGGGGTAATACAGACAGAAAACCCCAGATACTCTTCCAAGCGAGACACGCCTCTTCCTGAAGTTGCCTCTCTTTGCCTTTGCAACAGAAAGGGTCTAGAAAACTCAATTGCAGGCAAAAGGAAGAAGTTCAGACATCCCACCCACCATCCCCCAAGAAGTTTGACCTATGTGCCACTAACACAGCCCAAAGCAGAGATGCAACCTCTTGTGGCTTGCTGAAGAAGCACAGGCCGCCCCAGTTTTATCTTTTAGGAAAGCCAGAGGCTTTTCCAGTCTAGTGAGAACTCACTTAGGTAGAAACAGAGCCGCCTACCTGAAGTATCCCAGGATAAGGACAGCAACTGTGAGGGATCCCAGAGAGATGGAGTATCCAACAGTATAAATCAAATAGAGGCGATCAAAGACCTCCTGCAGTACAAATGATGGAAAAAATAGCGTCACATTAGAACGCGTCCTACTGCATCGTAACACAACCATGGTAGCAGCACAGAGATTCAGGCTATCATACTTGCTAGGGGCGTACAGCTCGGGGTCTGTGTAACCTTTGGCAGTCATACGTCTTGTCACCTTTTTCATGTAAGATCAGCTTTGAAAGCAGTATTCATTTTTCCTAATGACTGTGGGGAGACAGGATTTTTGCAAGGGACAAGTGATGGAGTTGGGTTAATCCCATGCATGGGAGTTTTACAGCATTTTCATCCCAAAGGAACCCAAAGCGCTTTACAAACTCTCAGCCAAATCCAGAGATCATTTGGCAACTTTTGCTTGAACAAAATGCCCACTGACCTGGGATTTTTATGGAACTTTAAAATTTAAGGCTATGCCATACCATTGCTGAATGACCGATGTCCATGCTGGTGGAGTGTATCAATCCACCACAGAAAACATGGCAAGGATATATTTTGGCTGCAGGATATGAGAAGAAATCACCTGTGTTCATCTTTTTTTGTTTTTTTTTTTTTTTAAATCAGAAGCAGCCAGTGACTGCAGTTATCCAAACCAGACAAAAAATTAGCTTGCCAAAGCCCCATTGGAAATGGTCCTGTCACAGCAGAGCTTATAGTAATTAATCCTGTAGCAGGGTTTAGTTCTCTTGGCCCCCTTTTATTTTAGAGTTGGCCTTAGAAACCCTAAGGTTTCCATTAAATACTGAGATGTTTTCCTTCATCCTGTGCTGGGGCATACAGCTTAACTCAGGGATTACTGAATATCTGCCTGAAAAGGGTTAAAACATCTGCCACTGTCCGAGCTTGTACTGCCTTTCGTCATCTAAAATTAGAAATAAAACCCAAAGAAACCAACAAATTCAGCATCTTTCTCTTTGCTTCCTCTTCCTCCTCCCACTTTTCCCTCACCCCACCCACTGGGTTACAATAACATTAGTAATGCTGAACTGTGAATGACAGCTCTGATTTTTATTTGAAGCTAGAAATGCTGTCCTGGAATGTGAAACCTCAGCCCTATTACATCAGAATCCCCAGATATGTGACTGTTTCTCTGTGGTTTCCACTGGTAGAGTGGTGCACTTGGCAATATTAACCTAGTGCGTGTGTGTGTATTTATATATATATTTCTATATATCTGTGCAGGCAGCAGGCACTAAAAAGCCACTGTAAGCAGATTTGAGAGCTTTAGGGAAAAAAAAAGCTCCTTTCCTTCTAAGCACTGCCAAGCAGGAATCCTTGTTGAACTGGAAAATGGTGAAAATTTAAAATCAAATAAAAAACCCTCTCCAGGTTTAGGATTCTTTGTAGTTCATTAGTTGTGAGGTGTTACTATGCCCAGCTGAACAAAAGTGTCCCTGAGACCCATTCAGAAATTTAACCAGAAAGATCCATGCTCCCATCGGACAATGACACCGTTGTAGCAGCAATGGTCTTGGGAAGGCCCTGCTGATTGGCTGGCAGGACGTTTTCAGAGGCTGTGGTTAATTCCTCTGATTAACCACAGGGCCTCTTTTTGAAAGGATATTGAGTCAGAACTGCCAAGACATACACATGCATGCAGGCATGCATGCTGGTGTGCCTGCTTGCATAGATAGATGCCACAAATCTTACCCTGTGTCATGATGGGGAGCCTTCAGGGAATGTGATTTTTTGGATAGGGGCTTAGGTCCTTGGGAAAAGCCTCAGAAGCAAAAGGTTGAGGTTCTTCAAAAGGCTGCATAGAGAAGCCCCTTGGAGTGCAGCTCATGCTTGCTAGTTCCCAGGAGCGTTCATCCTCAGGAATGGGGAGACTTGAATTTACCCAGGAGGAAAAAAAAACCCACAACTCTCTAAAGGCAATTCCAGGTCTCATTCATCTCCTAGCATGACGGAGGTCCCAGGTTGGTGGAAACCACAATGCTGAATCAGGAAAGGTCCTCCAGGTAACAAAATATTGAGTCATCTGCCAGCTGAAACAACCACCTCCATGGTCTGAGAACCCTCTCTTTGGAGCTGAGATGGATGGCAATTTAAATAATTCACAGAAGACCATAAAGGTCATGCATGGCCAAGCCACGGGCACAACCTGGACCACCACAGTCTCAGGACAGCACACTACTTACTAGACCATCCTGACGCAGCAGGAGCTCTACCTGATTTATCTTATAAATCCCCCCTGAAGATAGACTGAGCATCAATGGTCGTCCACAGATCTTCTGGAGGAAGCAACCCACCCTGCAAAAATGTACCCTTGCCACACCATGAGACCCCGGTTTAAAAAGTTCGATCTAAATCTCCCCTCTGTCCTTTTAAAGCCATTCCCCCTTGTCCTACCACTACTTGCTCTTATAAAGAGAGCATAATACGACGCTGGGAATAGCATTATATGGGGAAGGTGTGGGAAAGTTGTGGGATGGATCTGATCCCCCTCGCATTTCTTCCTGTTTCTTAAATTTTTCCCGTGCTTATTGCACTTGCCATCTCCCCAAGGCGTATCCAACTTGTCCACTTCCCCTGCCAACAGAGCTTGCAAAAGAGTGCTCTGTAAACCTTCCCTTCACAAGGCTGAGCTAGTCGTGGTTGATCCTGAAGGATGCTGGGCAGGATGAGGTCCCCCGTTGTGGATGAGCTGGTTTTGGGGTTGGAAAAGTGATTTCTGAACAAGTCATGCACCATGACCTCTCTAGGTCATGCTCTGTGGTGCCCTCAGGCACTGCACGTTCTCAGGGCACTTCATTGCCCTCATTGTCTCTGGTCACACATTGTAAAGCTCCACCAAACCACAGCCATTTGTCTTATACAGCCAGGTGAAATGATCTTTCTGCAGTGAGCTAGCCCACCTGGTCCTGACTTCCCAATCTCGATCCAGCCATAACTCAAGAGACTCACAATAAACCAAGCTGCAAAAAACATTAAGTACTATTTCAGCTGTATTGACCTGTAACAAGATCTCCCTTTCCCCCCTCCCTCTTGGTCTGGTGGGAGACTTCCTCTCTGCTCCCCTTTGCCCCTCAGCTTTCCACCAGCCTGACCTCAGGGTAGAAACTTCACAACAGCCTGGCAGCTTTAGGAGAATAGGAAACCAATATAGAGCTAAAGATGGCTTCTGCATGAACTCAGTGCATGGAAAAACCAAAATAAACAAAACCTAGCCACCATGGGTATCCATGGGCTGGATGTGGTCCCCTCCCACAAGGATCCTTGAATTCTTCACTCCCTGAGGTTTGGACATTTTCCAGATGTGTGACCCTCAGAGTAGCTGGCTATTACATTTTCATACTGTGCTTGGGGCTCAATCTGACTCCTAATTTGCCCACTTCCACCAATAGGGAGATAATTTGCATTGATCTGAATCCAAAAGAAAACTGCTTTCTGCTGCAGGACAGGTCAAAGCTACATCAGAGCACCACGCATGGGACTTTTGAGGCCCTGTCCATTGTGAAACCATGGATGTGCTTTTATCTTGCATTGCAACCAGGTGTAGGACCTTCTGTGTGAATGGTATTTCTGCTCCCTCAAATTCTATTATGGTTATATGAGCTTATAAAGTGGATGTGGTCCTCTAATTTAGGTGTCTATGATGATGGCTCCATCAGAGCTGGCCACCTAAGGGCCCAGCAGCTGTAAGAAAGAGGTGCTTCTATTTTAACGAGAGGATGGTGCCCTCAGCCATCAGCTGTACTGTCTGGGTTGTCACAAGCATTGTCCAGAATGGCTAACTCAAATGGAAGTGTTTACATTTATACAGCAAGTCCCATCCATTTGAGTCTCAGGTAAGAGATCTTGCAACACTTAGGACTCAATTAAATTGTCTTTACACGTGTCATTTTAGATACCCAAGTGTCCTGTCTGGCTTCAAGCCGCTTTTACATAAGGGAATGCATTTCCTCTAGGTCCAGTGTGGTATCTGCAGTTCTCTTGTAATTGTCTTATACACCCTAGGACACCACATTTAACTCTGGGTGTAAATGACACCTATGTTTCAGCATGTCTGAAAACTTCAGGGCTTTGCTCTTCATATCTCCTGTTTCCTTTGAGTGGCACAGAGAGGGACACGGGTGACTGAGACATATTTTCTAGATGACTGAGGGCAAACTCCATTTTGAGTATCACTGCACTGTGCCCTGTATCCAACTTTCTCCTTTCATCCTTTTCCTTTCCCCTTTGTTAGACAAAAGCAAGATTCTGCAACATTTATGTTGTGAAGCTGAAATGGATCCAGTGGTCTTTTGAGGGGTTGGCAGGCTATACTGAAGGGTGGGATTAGCAGTATATAAGGATGGAAGCATATGTAAGGGCTTTCCAGATCAAGTATCTGCAAAGTTTTACAAAGCTGCTGATTCAGATGTTGCTAATGACATGTTTGAAATTAACAGGGCAAGCATTTTACTGCTTTGACTGATAAGCAATGCCAGAAAGACTCTGTCAGTAGCTTTATTCATTATTTTCTTGTCTTTTTTTTTTTTTTTACAATAGACATGATTAAGGAAAGAAGCTTAATGGCAGGGAGAAGGGGTATTTTGCTAAAGGCATAAAACAGTCAGTGATTTCCAAAGCCTCTAGACTAAAAGAATAGGCATGATATAAGGAGTGAATTACAGGGCTGCTTGTAAAAATGAACACATCTTGAAGATGCTTTTTTTTTTTATTCCTACAAATACTTAAAACATCTGCCCATCTTTCATGGTGCAAATGTACGACACTGATGGCATTTCACCTGTATTACTCAGTATAAACTATGTAAACAAGTTTTATGCCATCAGTTTGAGGCTACACAAAGTTGTTTGCTTTTAAAAGGACCCCAGAGAGCTCCAAGAACAAAGGCCAAGCATAGAGGATTTTTGGTTTGAACAATGGTGTTTAGATAAAGCAGCCCTGCAACATGCTGTGCCTTTCCCATTGTGTTTGACATGCCATGGAATCTTGAGGCCTTTCTGATTTCCCTAGAAGCAGTAAACCCACCATGATCTAAACAAGCAGTAG